AGTTTTAAAACAAAGATTGCCTTTTATATATAAAACCTCTGTTATGTTAATTTTGATTAATTTCCCTGAAGAAGTTCGGACCAGATTGCCGAACGAAACGTTGGAATTACTCATTTCAATATCGCTGAGATATTACAAATATAATTTTTTACAAATGTCTACTTCTCACTCGGCGCCCAAATATTTTAGAACTATTCGGTCAAATCTTGACGACAGTTCATTTGAACTTGTTTGAATTCTACAAACAAACTACTCTATGAGAATAAAGTTCCCGTTCAAGTTTCTGGGGCAAACATAAAGGTCAGTCAGTTTAAAACAGAAAATTCTTGTGAGGCACTAATATGTTGGTCGATGTCCATTCTAGAAATAAACCAATCGGAATTGATGCTCAATATTTTATTGATCGTGATAACAGACTACTGAATGACTGATATATCCTTGGGGACATTTTGAATCAAAAGTTATTGCGTAGAAATGCACTTTGCTGATCACATCTTGGTGTGTTCTTGTTTAATTAGTGAGGGATGGGGTAGCTATCTTATAATGTTGCTGTAGTATAGTCAAGCGGTATTTGTGATTAGCGCTTTTATGTCCAATTTGGCGTCCGTATTTCAGTCTCGACGTATTGCGAAATATAACAGGCATTGACTACCTCAAACAGATTCTTAAAAGCATTAAAGTTAATATATCTAAGATTTCACTGAGAGAAGGGCATCAGATAGCATTAAACTCCAAACAGTCTACACCCTTTCAAAATTTTGGCTTAAAATAACTAAGCTTAAATTGCTTTATTTTATACATTTGCTTCCAACTATCTGATAACTTCCCACATTTTCTAATTTTATAATGGGTCGTTGCAATGATTTATAATTGACTAAATGTCTCGATCATGAAGTTTGTACACCACAGTATTTTCGCTTGATAATTCTGTATTTATCACAAGGATTTTGTTTAAACCACTGTTTGTTTACACCACGAGACCAAACTACCTGGTGTAGAGGTCCACAAAAAGCAGAACGTAAAACGACAGCTTCCAGAACGGCTTAATTGCTTAACCGAACCCAAGTCCACAAAAACAACTGTAAACGCATTGTGTTAAAACATTCAACCACACCGAGTTATTGAGTATTCCTATCGCCCAGTGCTTTGGACACAGAATCTCAGTTAGTTTTGTGACCAATCGCATATCATTTCTCTGGAAATTTTGACAATACAATTTTTTTTGAAGTAACTCCTCGTACTTTAATGTAAAATAAAATCGTGATGCTGTTCCAATTATTGAAGAAATGAAGACGCGAAACACTAAACAGAATAAGGATACAATTTTCAAAATCGACCGATACCTTCAACTTTGATATGGTGGTCTTGTTTGCATATCGCAATGACCCAATGAATTACAGCAGCTGGGACGAATATTCCCGCAGGTCCCACTATTCCAGAAACGTAGTTTGGTGGAAAGCAGTTAGAGCGAAATTAATTTATTACCATGCGGTGGCCTGTAGCCGACAGTAACATGTTCATACGGACACAACTCGAAAACATGGTTTTAAACAACCTGAATTACGTCCAGTGAAAGATGTAAGCCGCACGATAAAGTGATGGCCTGGACAGTGTTCGAAGTACCGGCTACAGTTGCAATTTTCCTGTCAAATATTGAATGCAGAAAACCTGGAGGAACTCGATACCTGTTTTTTCTCTGTAGGTTAACTGATATTCTGTGAATAGTTGTAAATACCTTGCTAAAATCACACGACAGCTATCATAACGAATATTTGTACGCATAGGATTGTTTAATATCTCTCTGTTACCCCTACGACGATGTCTCACACTTAACTAACACTGAATTTATTTGCTGGTCTTAGGTAGCAGTGCAGTAGTATAATTGAGGAATATAGACGGATGATACAAAACTGAGTCAATTAACTGCGACACTATGAGACTGAGAATAAGTATGTAGGGGACAGTTTATTTCATTTTGGTCTCGAATTCACTATCGGTATCATTCGTAGGTTCCAGTTACAAGAAGACTGTCACTTGATTTCAGATCCAGCTTAGCATTCACACACTGAGTGTTAAGCCTGTACTAGTTGCAACACTTGTTATATCCAATTCACTATTTATCCTACTCCTCCTTTGTGTTATTACAAATGCATATATATATATACTCTATCTGTGAAGCGCCACAAAAGATTTTCTGCATGTTAACGCATAGATCGCCTAATAAATGATTTCGCCAATTCAAACACTCATTGTTTGTATACCATTCAAATTAGTAGGATATTAAACGATGAGCCAAATGAACATCATTAAATTCACATGATTCCTTAGGAGTATGTATAAAAGTTGTCTATCGAACGGTTATAAAGTTCAGACTGACCTGACGGCTTCTGAAAAACAATAATTCTTCAATTTCCCTGTAGTAAACTATACTAATATGAGACATTATGGTGATCCTGATGGCCACCTCTACTCAGGCTATTTGCACAACATATATTACCAAACTTGATGATAGCGTGGTGAGAGCTGTCTGAAAGACAAAATTGTAGACAACAATTTACGTCAATGTTTACGTCCCAAGTCAGGAGAAAAAACAAGAACAAAGCCTAATCTTGTGGAACTCAACAACCAATCACAACAGACTTAACGTGGGCGGATACGATTAGCAGATATATCACCGGACTGTCTAAGAAACGGCAACAAAGAGATGATAGAATAACCTTCAGCAGGAAAATGACCAATCAGAAGACGTTGCTTCTCCGCTAACAATAACGCTAATAATAATGTACATAAAAATCTATAAATATCTGTTGATTTTCCCTATAAACGATCTGTTGCCTGGCCCTTGTCTTCTGTCGTTACACTAGTATTTACAAATTGTTTTTGATACTATATAACTAACTGTTCTACCCATTATTAGTTGGTATCTTGATTTATTCAATATTGGCGATGTTCAATCATCATTTCCGATCAACTCATCACCATTGGATCAGTATTGTAAAACCGAAGAAAAGAAACTTATTTGTTTTGTCAATCTGAATCTCAAGTACAATCTAACGAGTCTAGCCTTGTTGAGAATTAGTCTATTATATATTATTATCAGATAACATTTCAAATATTTTAAGAATGTAATAATGGAAAACAAGTTCTGGTTTTTAGACACTGTTCCCTCTTATATGAGCTAGTTAGTTTTGTTGTTGTCTGAAACGAACTTTTTATGTACCAGGCTGCGAGTCACACTAACTGTGTGAGGTCTGATAACACTAAGCATTAGCCCATAATGAAGTAGGCGGTTCAGAATTTTAACTTAAAACCAAGTGGCTAAAAGTCAGATGCTTAAGCCAATGAACCATATCTCTAGAGTTTCGTCAACAATGTATTTATTATCTAGCCATTCTACATTCCACAGTCTCAAACCATCCATTCTAAGAATATAGAGCCCCACAGTCAGACAACCTATACACATCTTCCAGAAGAGGAATTAGGCGATGCATATCATGGAAGTTACTGTATTCCTTTCGTTCCTTTGCCTTTCTAGTGAGTTTGAGTTCAGAAGTTTTAGTAGCAATGGTGTTTTTGTCTTACACCCAACCTTCCCTCTCTACTAGGCCTACTTACCGGCTGAGCGAGGTTTAGCAGTGCGTCGACCAGGAATCGAACCCGGATCGTATGCATGAATGGTTGGCGAGCATTTTACCGCTGAACCACCGAAGTTAGCTTAACTGATTACGAATTTATCACCCCTATTAAATGTACTAGTGTTCAAGCGCTTAAACACTAATGAATTTAAACAAGACATTTCACAATGTTCTGGCGTGATGAAGACACTCGCCTCATTCATCATGATACACCACCACACGAAGTCGCTACAGGATAAAAATACAGTTCTTTAACTCATGGAAAATTCCCATTGTAACATATAGAAAATCAAAAACAATTGGTGATTGAGCGAAGAGACTCTTTTCAACGAAATTATCATCAAGCTGTACAATCGTATTTATATGGTTTTTAAGAAGTTATATCCGGTGAGGGAATTGAATCATCGGTGTGAATGCATAAAATAATAATAATAGTAGTATGAAATGCAATTAAAACTAAAATGTTTTGATTATAATCATAGTTTAATGTCAAGTGGCAAAACAATTAATGTCATATGTAGAATAATTCATAGGATGGATAGAACTTGAAAAAGGGTGTGCAATTATAGGATTAGTAGGCAAATAGAATAAAATAAAAACGTTACGTTAAATTGTGTGGAATTTGATAGCATAGAATTTGACGTTGCAAAAAAGAAGAATGACAAGTGAAATAATACCGGGGACAGTTCAAAGTGAGAGTAGTGATAGTAACAATTGACGTAATAAGGAAGAGTATACAAATTGAATTGACAAAACGAAAAATTGGTAGAGCCAAAATATGATTGGGGACTACCATACTTTAGCATAGAGGGATTAAGACCATGAAAGTTGGAGGGGTTGAACAAACTTTTTCTGTACACAGAGATCTGGCTTTTCTGTTTCGATAGCCAAAGCTTCAGCAATGCAGCAGATGAGTCGGGTAAGTAGTGATTTTGGTAAATTACTTTTTGCCTTGTAGATGACTTTATTTTATTCGATTTGTCTAATCCTATAATTGCACACCCCTTTTCAAGTTCTATCCATCCTATGAATTATTCTACATATGACATTAATTGTTTTGCCACTTGACATTAAACTATGATTATAATCAAAACATTTTAGTTTTAATTGCATTTCATACTACTACTATTATTATTTTATGCATTCACACCTATGATTCAATTCCCTCACCGGATATAACTTCTTAAAAACCATATAAATACGATTGTACAGCTTGATGATAATTTCGTTGTTGAAAAGAGTCTCTTCGCTCAATCACTTGTTTTGATTTTCTATAAAAAATACAGTTAACCATAGTCCGCCAATTGTATAATATCTACTAAGAAGCAAGTAAGAAGTTAAAAGCAGGAGGATTTCTAAAAATTTTTTATTATAAAGTCGCAATGTATAGAAAACAGTGAATATAAAAACCTAATATACATATATATTTGTATGATAAAAATAACAAGACACTACACAAAGATTAATGGTAGATTCATATTAAAATAAAGAATAAAAACTGTGTAAACCCTGGCCAATTTCCCAGATTGAAACACCTGTGCCCATTGATATGACAGTTTGAAGACGCTGAGATATTGACAGTAAGGTAGGATAGAAAACCAAATGATCTTGAGACTCATTATCCCTAGAAAAAAAAAAGTTCATAGTGAAAAATATAAGAAGAGAAGAGACTCTTAACATTTAACTTAAAGAAATTTCAATTGAATTTTAGATTCTCCCGTCGATTGATTGGACCGAAGTGCTCGGTCTCAGGTTGACATGTCGGCTTCTTGTGCAGATGCTTCGACGATGTCTGGGAAAATCTAAAATTCAATTAAATAATCAGTATGACCCGTTGCACAAGAGGTGGCTCTCATCACCCAAGTGGTCTAGTGGATAACGCTTTGGCTGGCGTTTGAAACTATGTGCACTGGGTTCGAGCCTCGATGGGAACATCATCACTCACTGGGGAATGCAGACACATCCAGTTGACGAGTCCCAAATAGGACGAAATGCGCGTTATCCTGGATTCCACTGCTAGTCACCATCCACCAATAAAATTTAAAGACATTTCACTCAAATGTTGACGACACTAACTTACTCATATCTGATGTCCACAAGACAATAAGTTGAAGGCATAATCAATTACGATAAATTAGTGACCAAGAATTTAAACGACGCAGACTTGATAGAAAGGAAGTGGGACAGTGCTTTTTAAAAAAAAATCCTCACCACTCGGGAACAATAAGCAAGATAATTAGTAAATTCATGAATTACCACTAAACAAAAAAACTACAGGCGGAAGAGATAAGGATGTCAAAATTAGCCAGAACCGGCAAGACAAGAGAGACCTTTATCACTCTGAAATCCAGTTCGGAAATATTCTGTACAAGATTTGGATTTTCAACACCAATGTTAAGTCATTCAGTTCTTCTATGTGTATCAGAAACTTGCCACTGGAGTCACGAAAAGAATTTCCAACAGGCTGCTGCAGACTATTACCAACCTCGAGCTTCCTTCTCTGGCTCTATATATTGAAGATCAAATGGCCCGCCAGAAAGGATCATGAACAATAAACTCTGGGAACGAACCAATCAAGAATCTATTGCTCAATAAATATGTGTAGAAGGAGATAGAGTTGGATCGGACACACGCTGAGGAGACCGTAGAATGACATCACGCGCCAAGCCATAGCTCGAGTGGAACCCGAATGGGAAACGAAAAATAGGACGTCTGAAGGTGACATGGAGTAGATCGTGTGAGGAGGAGGTGAGAGAGATTGTGGGTAAACGTCGAGCCAGCTGAAGAGGACAGCAGAGAATAGGGTATGAAGTGGAGATGTGCTGTTGAAGCCCTATGTTCCACGTGGAACCCAAGGGAATAATAATAATAATAACAACAAAAACGGATTGTTGATCAATGCGTTTTCACGGAATCACTAAACTCACAATGATTACACTCTACCCTATCATCTAATGTGTCTATTGTAAAATATATCAGGAGTAGTGAAACTGAAGTAGCCATGTCTTTAAAAAAAAGATATTAAACACGAAAAAGCCTGTATGTGAACAGCATCTATTTTCGACACAAGGTGTTAAGGATTTTCTCACTGCTGACAATCTTCTCAGATAAATTCTTTATAATCTCAAGGATAATTTTCATACTTAATGCATACAGTAGATTTTAAGAGAAAATTATACGAGGGACAAAAATGTTTGTTATTGAAACAGAAGAATTTTTCAATACAGCGAATATATTCATTCAGACATTTATAAAACACAAAATAATTGAGCAAAGAATATCCTTTTCGATAATTTCCTCTTCTGGCTCTACAATCATATATATATATATATATGTTTATATACATAGAATATTCTAGATTAGTAGTCAATAACAATATTAGTGTTTTTTAAATAATATCGATTTGTAAAGTAAGATCAATGGAATTACCACAGTTCATTAAAGATGCTTAAATTATAATAATAATAATAATAAAGATATAATAGCGAATAGAATATCAACTAAAAGTAGGAAAATTCCGCCCTGTATAGTGGTTAAGTAAAGGACAAACAAAATCTATTCGCAGCGCTATTCTACCTCATCTTTTGGATACAGAAAACAAGATTGATGTTAACCAGGCCTCTTTCAGAGTCATTTACCGCATACCAACAAATCTCAATTTCACCTTAAGAGATTGACTACTAAATATTGCTGAGGCTGGTTGTTGGGATCCACATTAAGGAGCCTAATTTGTGCATCTAAAAGAAGCTAGTTCAGACATTGTCCTTACCTTGGCCATCTAGGTTTGAATGATCCTCAATTTTTGTCGAATTTTCCTCATTTTATTTGATATCGTGTTCGCTATTCTATCTTTATTATTATTATAATTTAAGCATCTTTAATGGACTGTAATTCCACTGATCTTACTTTACAAATCGATATTATTTAAAAAAAGCACTAATATTGTTATTGACTACTATTCTAGAATATTCTATGTTTATAAACATACATATAATTGTAGAGCTAGAAGATGAAATTATCGAAAAGGATATTCTTTGCTCAATTATTTTGTGTTTTATAGAAGAATTTTTACTGATTTCTTTTCCAATTATAAAACGATGAAATGTTTAAGAACAATGCCTAGATGGGGAATTTCTTATAGTATGGTGCATACAACTTCATCATATGTAGATTCAACAAAAATGGCGATATTCAAATGTTGGTTTGCAGGGATTTGATTAGTTTCAGGAATTAATCATGAGCTGACATCACTTGGAGAACCATTTGAAAACGTGACCCATGATTCTCAACTTCTGCCAATTCACGATATATATATAGCGCAACCACTAGCCAATGTCATCGGCGAGTACTTTGTCCACACACCCGACCTACTGTACCCCACTGGTCATGGCTTCTCACTAGAACCTAGGTAACTACCTACCTGAATAGGGCTAGTCGCTAGTGAGCATCAGATTTATATTCAAAATGTTGGTCCGCCGATGAGTCCCACAGAAACAGGACGAAACAGCTGTCCAGTACTCTCAGGTTTTCCAATGGCTCTGTAACTGATGTCAGCTCATGATTAAATCGTGAAAGATGGTAATGTGATGTTAGATGCAAGCCATCTAAAATGTATTAATAGAAAGCGGTGCACAAAGTAAACGTTGGTAAACAATAGAATCTATAAAGTAATTTTCAATACTATTCGAGCCTGATCAACACAACAAGGTGCTGGATTCGAGCCTAAGTGAGAATACAATCAATCACACAGATGTATGCACAGTCGACTGACGAGTCCAAAATGAGATTATCATCATTATTCCCTCGGGTTCCAAGAGGGGTATAATGCCATAGCAGCACTTCCCCATTTCACACTGTCTCTTCTTTGCTGGCACCACGACTGTTCGTAAGCTCTCATCTCCTCCTCACAAGATCACCACGTCACCATCGGGAATCCAACTAGCAGCTCCCCAATCAGCTTGCACTCCAAGACCCGGTGCGTCATATTAATCAACACTCTCACCATCGTATATCTAGTCCATCTCTATTTCCTCCTGCATATCTGTTACGAGATAGGCTCTTCGTTGGTTCATTGCTAGAGTTCCAAGTTAACTATCACTTCCGACCGGCCGTCTCCTTTTCAGTGTGGACAGAGGGTAACTGTTGATCAGAGTTTGAAGTAACCGGTTGGGAAGGCTTGCGGTCACACACTGCATTCTCTGTTACATTTAATTCAGTGGTTGTGAGTCCCACCTCTAAACCGGTGATTAGCACCAAAGTCACACATACTTAAATTGTGAAATAATATGAAGAAAATATTTACAAATCATAATAATTCAACTGTGGGTCAGTTACTTCTTTGAACAATGGAAAAAAAGGCTTACTTGCTTGCTACTTACTTATAGGAAAAACTATGCTCAGCCCATTGTTTATGCCATGTAAAATTTGGTCGATGATTTTGAAAGACTTCAACAACTCTGGAAAATGGAATAATAATTTTTTTTTAAACAAATAATTTATAGTACAGGAACCATATTATCGAATAGTACATAGTTGAAAATTACAAAGAAGGTCATTCATCACATGTATTACACGTTCTTTGAAATAGAACTGAATAACTGACCTAACAAGGTTAAACTTTGTACAGAAGTATGTCATTTCATCACCGAGGTCACACTTCCAAAAAAGGAGGAGGAGAAGAAATGTTGTCATGTAACCACAATGGACGAAAATGTGAACATTTTTTCAGAGTCTGAATGATGTTAAAGACTTTCTAATCATTGATTCCTAGGATATGATTTGAACAGAAACCAGACAATCTGTATCTTGTGTTACACGTGGATCAGATCAACAGTCGAAGACTCATCTCACAGATTCGTGAGATCTTTTGGTCTGGCTACCTCTATATCATACAACCTATCCTATTTTAGGTAAAAGTGTTTGTCGAGGAAGGAAGGAAGGGCCCAGCATGCGTACCACACTTCCAATCTATCTCAATCGATAAGGCCTTAAAATATCATTCACTAACCACTCCTTTTTGTGTAGAGGTTAATATGACTGGGCAACACATGAGTCAAACGTTGAAAAAGACAAAAACGAAAAATAAGTGATAATGGTGAAAAACAGGACGGAGTAAAGCTAATATAAAGCAAGTTAGAAAGTTCTGTGAGTACACTGAAATGATGATTATGAGGCATAAATTTTTGGTGGGAACGTCATCTAACCATTAATACTGTATCACACAGTGTGTTATATTCAAACAAACTTATATGTAATGGAAATTATGCATTACAGAGTACTTTGGCTCCATAAATCAGAAATTTAGAGAAAGAGAACTTGAAAATCTATGAAAAAACACTAAATATATAGCTAGTAAATATGATATATATATATATATATATATATATATATATGGAACTGACTATTGTTCCATCCCATCTTATACTTGTTCCACAATACACTTTCTGATATGATTCTAATTTGCCTTTTCTGGCTATTGTAAGCTTAAATTAATGGATTTATAATTGTAGAGCCTGAAGAAGAATTTATTGAAAACAATTGTTCGCTCTAAACATTTTGTTCTGAAAATCACTTCACTCAGTTTTATGTCAACCAAAAGACTCAACAAAGAAAGAAGATAAAACCAATATCATCTACAAAATAAATTGTAACAACTGCGAAAACACTACATTGGCCAAAGTGGACGTCCCCTTCGTCTTCGTGTCCATGAACATAAACTAGTCGTCAAAAGACATGACATCCACTCCCTCGCTCATATCGCTGCATACAGACAACCATGGACATCAATTCGACTGGGACAACGTTCAAATATTAGACAGAGGAAACACCAAGAATGCTAGAGAATTTTTGGAAGCCTGGTATTCCAGTGAATCACCAATCAATAGACACATCGAGATAGACAAAATTTACCAACCGATAAGAAGGAAATCTCATACACAAAGGGTCAAAGTTCAAGTCAAAGAAACAATCAGTACCAATATAAGTAGTCTAGAGGGTGTGAAAACACACAAAACACACAACCAATCACGTTCAAGATGACCAGGAGAGATGACTAATAAACTTGTGGAGAAATCTAAAACCTCACTTCAACGAATTGAAGTATGCGCTGAAGATGTTGTCTAGTAGGCCGATGAAAGCTTAGCAAATTAACTATCCAGCTCAGAGAACACAACCGCATCAAAATCATCCACCTGAGCTACAAATCTTCTCCATCATATCTAAATCTTACGAGCAGAACAGCAACAACAACACGGCAAGCTCCGGACTAGCCATGAGCATTGAACTAATATTTTCATTCTAACTGTCAAGACCAATATACATATTCATATCTTCTTTATGAATTATTATTATTATTGAAAAATTCACAGAATAAAATTGGAAAGTATTTTTTTTAACTTGAAAAACTAAAATGAATTATACTTACTCGTTGCCTCTGACAGGGTTACTGGCTGCCTTACTAATAATATAATCCATCCCATAGAAATTCAGTCCAACTAGAATTTGTTGTCGTAACTTTAAATAATTTGAAGAGGTTTCTGGAACTAAGTGTTGTATGCACGCCTCTACCCAATTCAATGGACTATTAGGACCAGGTCTGTTGTAAATTTGGATAATAATAAACTGTGAATACTCTGCAAGTTCAAACACTGCTGAAATATTTAATGAGTAAAGTGTAAAACAAGATTATCACATTTACCAGTATTCGTATTATCCACGAATCTCAAATCAATCTCAATGCTACTGAACAACCACTTGCAGTTATACGCAGTTGGCAATGAGCCACACCTATTGTGTGAGGAGTGGTTATACCTCTCGGCGCTGCCTAATCCTCCGTGCCTAGTTCAAATCCGTGACTCACAGGTGCCCATAGTCTCTAATCTCCTCCATGTCACCCTCGGACCAACACGCCACTCGTCGTTACCCATTCGAATTCCACTCCACCGATGGTCTGGTGCGCGATGTTGTTCGATGGTCTCCTCAGCATGTGCTCGATCCATCTCCATTTTCGTCGGCATTTGTTGAGCAGCGACTTGAATGAAGTAGCAGGGAGACGACTTTTCAAGAATTTCATACAATGATTCCCTTTTCTAAATTTGAACAAAGAAAGAAGAAACATTGGCGCAGAATAATCTGGATCCATTTTATTTCGTCGGTTCTCATCAGCTGCGTACAACCTGAATTTTTTGTCCATTAGCAAGCATATTGTCAAAGCGTCATAGTGAAATAAGGCGTTGCGATTTACAAGGTGTCTAAAGTGTTACGACATATATATATATCTTGTTAGAGAGAAGTTCCTTGAAAAAATTAATTAACAGTTGTGTTGTTGGGGTGGTAACAAAAGAAAATTAGTAATAGTTACGTAATTAGATGAGAGAAGATCAAAATTTCGGTGCAAATGAGGTCAGATGAGAAGTTGATGATGTAATACAGTGAGCAGAACTCAGAAGATCAGGAAAAATTATCTCTTAAGAGAGTCAAGCGAGACATAAAGGGGGGGAGTGAAAAGATAAGTTAACAAAATTAGAAAACAAAGAGTTACTAAGAAGTGAGTTACCAGGGTAATTGAAGTCCAACAACGGATTCTTTTTGGACACATAAGTCAGGCTTCAACCGTTTTATTGCTATAGCTTCAGCAAACCTGAGAAGACTTGAGGTACTTTGTCTTTTAATTATTTTGAATGATTCCAGCACATCTACTCGGTGTTCTGTGTCAATCAGGTGTTTAGAGATTGAAGAGCTTAAACAATTCGATCCCTTTAACTGGAGGCTCCTTGGTACATGTTCGCAGAATCTGACGTAGGCCCTCAGGGGAGACCTAGCAGCAGATATCCTTAAAAGGAGAATCTCCAATTACCTGAAGAAGACTTTTCCTGCAGCAACTCTAAGAGTGATATTCTCTAGCCGCCCACTACTTCGGAGCAACGGGAAAGACAGACGCCTGTATATGACCACTTCAATGTGCATATATCATTTCACCTGCTCGTGCGCAGCTAGGTACATAGGTCGTTGTTCTATGCGGGTCCAAAACGTGTTAGAGAACATCATCCAGCATGGCTGCAAAGAGCAGGCACTGGTTCAATCAGAAGCGCCATAACTGACCACCTCGTCAATACCTATCACAGCATCTCAACTGACTCATCATTCAGAGTCATTTACAAAGTAAACAAAAATCTACCAAAGGCAGTGTGTTTCCAACTTCTTATTGCGGAAGCTCTCGCCATATGCAGCGAAAAGCCGGAGTTGCGTGTTCAAAAGAAACTAGTCCAGCCTTTACAACTACCGTGGACCTAGTTCGGTATGTTCCCTTATCCTTCAGTTCTTCGTTTTGTTCTCTGTGTGTGTAATTTTCTCTCTTTGTCTTCATTCAGTTCATTCCATTTTTTGCAGTTATAAAATCAGTTATTTTAAGTTTGTTTCCAGGCTCCTCCTGATCACACTTGTAATCGGTTTAGAATAAACATTTTACAATTATATTCTATTCCTGTGTAATTTTTGTTTCTATGCCTCTTGTAATCTATATTCACACCTCCTAACTTACATTTCAAGTTGACAATTTTGATTTCAATTTGTTTCCATGCTCATTTTGTTCACACCTGTAATTCGTTCTATCCCTGCGTAATTTTTGTTTCTAAGCCTCTTGTAATTTGTATCAAGTTGAAAATAATTATCACCTTTTATTCGCCTTTAAAATTATTTCTCCAGTTATCAGATATTAATTTTGCATACGTTGTAACTGTTTTCTAATCCTATGTAATCTTGTCTCTAAGCCCCTTGTAATCTATATTCGTCCCTTCAAACTTTCATATCAAGTTGAAAATTATTATCTCCTTCGTTACTATGTGGAATCTATGTAAACTAATGTATATAAATGCGATTGTACAGCTTTTGAGAATGAAATCACCGAAAAGATATCTTCGCTGAACTTCTTGTTCTTTTCCCTCTAATGTCCCAATGGGTATTTTCAACGATTTGAAAAAAAACTAAAGGCAATGCATGAAGGTGCCCCGATGTTGTCCAACTAAATGAAAGCGGAACATCGGATAGAGTGGTGAACAACTACAGGAGTAAATTATCTCCACTGAACAACCTACCTAGGATCATATAAATAAAATCAATGATCATACTGACACACGCACGCACACACACATACATAATACACAAATGCATAAAAATTATACTTTTTGTTTTTGGAATAAATAAACTCACCTAGGTGAAGAGTAATCATAGGTCATCAAACTGAAATAATCCACATGATTAGCTAATTGATTAAAGTCATTTTGTCTGAATCTTCCTTCGATGCCTCTAAAAATGTCGTAGGGTTAAGCAGTAATAATAACAATTATTAAAACCTTACCCATGATAAACAGGTGGTGGAATAACTAGCACAAGAAGTTTGCCTGCTTCATGCAAACTATTAGCCAATTGAATAATAAAGTTAGTGAGTGTTTTCAACTCTAATCCAGAGAATTGGACCCAAATTTCTATAACTGCACCGTCAAAATTATGTTTCTAAACAGGGGGAACAAAATACAAAAAAAATATTTATCAAGTATTGCTTCGCAGGGATTTGATAGGTTACGGGATTGATCATGAGCTGACATCAGTTAGAGAATCATTAGAAAACCAGCACTGGACAGCTGTTTTGTCCTAGTTAGTCTGGGACTCCTCATCGGTACGCACCCACCGGGGTTCGAACCCAGGATTTTCCGGTTACGAAGCGAGCTCGTAGACCATTAAGTCACTGTGACCCAACTGAATGGTCCATGAATTCCAACTTCTGCTAATTCGTGATATTTAGCGCAACCGCCAGCCAATGTCACGGGTGAGTGACTGTACTCATTGCATGATTTGGTGGACTCCCCCCGCCTGCTGCGACTTCTCAATAGAACCCCAGGTACTTCCTGTATTGGGCCAGTCGATAGTGAGCATCAGATTAATTAGCAAGTCTTGGTTTGCAGTGGCTTAATGGTCTACGAGCTCGCCTCGTAATCGGACGGTCCTGGGTTTGAACCCCGGTGAGTGCGTATTGCTGAAGAGTACAAAATGTTTTTTATTTTTATTTTCAAGACGTGAAGCTAGAGCTTGACGAAATTAAGCAAAAAAACAACAAATAGATTTTTGTGGAATATCATCAAAAACTAGTATTATATTGAGAATTTATTATGAATGTTATTTTTCCTACAGTCAAAATCATTTTTTAAGCAACTTGGACACATTGATTACTTGTCATTTCAACTAAGAATGAACATTACTGTCATTGAATGCAAATAGTGACAAGATGAAATTATGGTTAGATTTGGTCAAAAGTATATTAACTGCAAAAGCTGGGATAGGTTTATAGGCATTACGTTGGATTGTATTTCATTAAATTATTATTGTTCCCTTCGGTTTCAAGTGGAGCACAGGGCTTCAACAGCACATCTCCACTTTATATCCTATTCTCTGCGGTTCACCTTAGCTGACCCCACGATTGCCTATAGTCTCTCATCTCCTCCATATCACCCTCGGACTAACGCCCCACTCGTTGTTGCCCATTCGGCTTCCTCTCCACCGATGGTCTGATGCGTGATATCTTTCGACGGTCTCCTCAGCATGTGCCCGATCAATCTACATTTTCGTCTGCATATTTGTTGAGCAATATGTTGTTGATTCCTTCGTTCCCAGAATGTCTTGTTGCTAATTCTATCTGGTTGACCATTCGATCTTCAATACGTGGAGCTAGAGAAGACAGTTGTTGATAATAGTCTACAGTGGCGTGTTGGAAAAGCTTTTCATGACGCCACCGACAAGTTACTGACATACATAGAACTGAATGACTTAACGTTGTTGTTGAAAATCAGAATCTTGTTGTTTGTGCTGAGTTAATGTAGAAGATTTCCAAACTAATTCCACAGTGATGAACGTGTCTTGCCTTTCTGATTCTAGCTGGCTGGCTCTGATATCTTCATCCGTTTCGACTGCCTGTGGCTGAAACCATGCTTCCTAGATAAGTGAACGAAGTAACCTCTTTCAAATCTCTCCTGTTGGTGCTGGTTGTTGTCGCTCTTAGTTGGTTGGTTATCATCACCTCCATCTTCTCTGTATTCGCTTGAAGTCCTGTCTTTGCTCCCTGACTCTTCTTTCAGTTTGTGGATTTTCGTCTGCAAGTCTTCAAGTTCGCGAAGTTTAGTTCTTCTAGAGTCTTCTAGTTGGACTAACGCATTCCACTCTTCTCACTCCTTGTGCACATTCTGACGCATAATCCAGTCCACCACAATTAAGAATATTATCGGTGATAATAAGCAGTCTTGCGAAGAAATTTTTCTCACATATTTTCTTGATTACAACTAGCTAATGACAGTTTATTTATTCGAACCTCTTATCACCTTGTCATATGATCTATCTCATTTTAAATCTTCATTATCATTATTTGTACCGTGTATAGAAATGTTTGATTGGATGGAGGGTTTCATCATGAGCTGACAGAACCACTGGAAAACCTGGGAGTACTGGACAGCTGTTTCGTCCTAGTTTGCGACTCTTCATCAGTACGCACCCACTGGGGTTCGAACCCAAGACAACTCACACTGCTGCACTTCTGTACAAAACTTCTATATTGAAACCAGTCAGTTAGTCAGTCTAATGTACTGCGCTATGGGACATACCTACAATGTTACTTATTTATTTGGATTATGCGTTTTCATACGGATTTTGTTGAATCTCAACGTAGATTTGTTTTTAATTTATTTACTTATCTATTTATTTATTCACAAAATTGGCACATTGAACACTACCCGGTTTGGTTCAGCTATGCGTTTACGGAGATTACGCTCACAATGTGTTTTTGAAGTAATTAAAAGTCGTTTATCTAAATGTATTAAACGGTGTTTTTATGCAGCTGACCTACATTTAGTATTTGCCTGCAGAACTATGATTTGACGATGCGTCAAAGACAAACTACCGCTTATGTCCACTGCCACGTGTATTTACTCATTCACATGCTCGTGTGGAGCTGATTACATCTGACTTTGTAACCGTGTTCTCCGTAAACGCGTAGCTGAACACTACCCGGTTTGGTTAATGAAAGGTGAACAAAAGACGACAAAGTCTTCAATCTATGAACACATTCCGGGAGTCAGGTCATTCAGCCCCACGGGATTTATCCTTTAAAGTTATCTACAGGACCAAATCCAATCACTTCAAAAGCTTACGTTTTCTCCACTTATGCATAGCTGACGCTCTAGCTATACATGGACAGAAACCTGAATTGTGTGCTCAAAAACGTTTTGTGAAACCAGTTTCTTTACCTTGGTCATAGTAATGTTCTTTTATTTTATTCTAGTTTACCACTTGAATTCATTCCACAATTCACTTCACCTTCACCGTCTTTATTGTTATCATCACCATACTCTTAATTTTTTAGACAACACTTGACCTACAATTTTAAAATCGTTATACCAGTTCACTTATTTAATAATCTTTAAAAGTTTTGTAATTCATCCACTTCAACTTTACCCCGCCCCCTTAGTACATCATTTTAATTATCTTTATTCTTATCATCATATGTGCAATATTGACTGAGCAATTTCTAGTGCCACTTAACGCCTTTTTCCGTAATATAAATACGACTGTATAGTTAGCTTGAAAATGAAGTCGTTGAAAAGAGATATTTCTTTGCTGAACAAAAAATTGTTTGTCCTTATAAATACCTTTTAGAAGAGAGTATAAATATTTTTTTACGTAGAAACAAAGTTTAACTATAAAGAGTATAATAATACAAATGGATTTCCACCACGTTTTATAGACAAGAATATACATTCAAATCCTTTAAAACGTGACTTATCATCCGCACCCAAGAAAGTACTTTACATGAGCTTGGAATTCAAAAGGAACTTAGCTTCCGATATCATTAAAAGAAGGATATCATAGTCCCTGAAAAGAACATTCCCTGCTGCATCTCTGAGAATAGACTTTACTAATCGACTATTACTGTTCAATAACTTGAAGGACAAGATCTCGCTGTTGACTAACTCTATGTATGCTTATCAATTCACCTGCTCGTGTGGAGCTAGGTATATCGGTCGTTCGATTGTACAGCTTGATGATAAATTCGTTGAAAAGGGTCTCTTCGCTGAATCACCAATTGTTTTGATTTTCTATATGTTACAATGGGAATTTTCCATGAGTTAAACAAGCATTTATCGCAGGAATAAGTAGTATATATCTTATGCACTGTAAAATAAATTCAACTTCAATAAATAAGTGGAAATAGTAGAAACTAACCTTTATAACATTGATTATATTTTGAATGCATTTGTTCATTTTAGCATTATCCTTCAAAGTTGTGGCGTAATCTTTACTCTCCCATGGACCGAAGGAAAATCGAGGAGTTATCTTTAACTTGGGATTGACAGCACGAATTTCATTCATCCACACTGAAACAGAGTAACTCAACATATGTGAAGTAGTCAAACAAACCAGTATTAATTTCATGGATTCCAGTAACCGTGTACACTTTCTTCTCACCTTGGACTTCAAACCATACAGGGGAGATAAGGTTAAATTTAGTACCGAATATTTTTGTGACTTCATATCCCAGTTTATTCCACTGTGAATTTGTAAGTTAGCTGACATAGAGAATACTATTACTTACAGGTGTTACATATGCTAAGACAGTTGTGTTTAAATTCTTTTGTGAAACAGTGTATTTATTATAAGCCGAATGAGACTTCAAAAAAATGTCCGTATCGATATTCTCTGTCGGAACACCATAAACCTGAAAAAATATATATATTAAATTTGGAATTTGCATACCGCTTCATCAGACTCTTCTACAGCAACTATGGAGACCAGCTGTGTCAATATGATCACATTTATTACTTTTACAGCTATGCATAAAACTTTAGGCTGATCTCGCCAAAAAGTCAGCATCTTCTGGAATAAATAAAAAAACATTTGAGAACTAATTTGAAAGAAATCGAAGTGTAGCAGTTTAAGTCACCATACCTCGGAAAAACACATACAGGTAGTAAAGGGGAGTAAAGAAAATACAGTTGTCGAAAAATTTACAGAAATAAAAGGCACCGTCGACCTAGAACTTTGACAGAGGCAAACGAACCTACTTCAGGTTTAATAAAATAGAAATTAAGAGTAAATCGGGAAGTTGTTTCGAACACAAGTCGATATCCTTTCAAAACTATTAAAAGTTGGGAAACACTTGACAGATCTTAAGTCTGCTAATCAGTGTTGCATGCTAAGCTCGTCAATGACTTTCTTAAAGCTCCTACATACCAGTGAAAAGCATATAGGTGTGTAAACATACTAATGAATTTATCTTTATCTGAACCCAGTGACACAGCTACTCTGTCAACTACTTCTTGTAGATTATTAAAGTTTAAAACGTCCAAAATTAGATAACTATAATGGTTAGTACAATAGGATACCTTGTGAAGCTTGGTAAGTGGGATGAAACGATGTGATACACAATATCCATAGCTCATCACTAGTTGGGAGAGATCATTCATGAAGACTATGTAATATGTTACTTGTGAGATACACATTAACGACTAGTTGTACGCTGATAAATATTGAAGACAGTCATGGACACTTCAGTACTGGTGACTGGCATACCACTGATATTAGTGCCTCAACACTAACAGTTATCTGGAGAAAACGTTAATTTTAAAGGGTCCGGTGGGTAAGTCTGCTATTTCAATCCAATGACAAGTAGTTAAAATATTCATTGTCATAAACCTTTCTTCAGATTTTCAGAAGTGAGCCGTTAAAAGGTGACATAAAAGTAGGTCAGTGTTAGCCTTTTCACAAATACTTCAGGATAGAGACCTTTCTAATCACATATATTTTCTCTCATTCATGAAAACACTAACTATTAATTAGACTATGGAATGCTAATTAAATGGTAAGAATGGCGTTAACAGTCCTTTTGTGAACGCTCAATCCCCCGCTTACTCTTTCTCGCCATTTGATTTGATAATTTTAATTCCGAATTTCTCATACTGAAATCATCATATATTGCTTTAAAAGTCATTTGAAAGTTTGAACAATACGCAGTGCATGAAAGTTGGCAGCATCTTCTATGCAAGTCAGTGTAAAAGAACTACATTTGAGATTTTGTTGTGGTGATTCGACTGAAGTAGGGAAATTTAAGGGAAACGGGGTAAATAAGCCTAACTATCCTCTAGTATCCTAATACCCTTTTGTCCAGGTATCATAGAAAATAGATAAGAACTCCAGGTACACAATAAAAATGAACATTTACAGCCAAATTTTGACTATGTATGTGCCAAAGTGTTCTTGGAATTGTCGGTAGCAGAGAAGACTTAAGATGACAATGAACGAAGTTTTATTTCTACTCCAAATGTTGAGTGAAAACTGACTCTTACCTGCTATACTAACAGCAACCTGTCTGGTAATTCTTATACTTAACTGAATCCTAATTCACAGTACAGGCTAATACCGCTATGACGCCTTTAATTTCTAATCTTTTGTCACAGATTATTTGTTCCTTATTTTGGGTCATTCTTATTATTGCTCCGTCCTTCTCTATGGCGGTGAGACGTGGCCATTAAGAGCGGAAGACATGAAGAGATTGTCTGTTTTTGACCACAGATGTTGACGATCTCTTTCTCGCGTTAGATGGTATAATAAGGTAAGTAATGTTGACGTTAGGCGTAGAGTGTTGGGCAAAGAGGGAAAATCAATCAAAGAGGCTATAAAGTTACATAGATTGAGATGGCTAGGTCACGTGCTGCGCATGCCTAACCATCACCTCCCCCGAAGGGCATTACTAGCTGATATAGGCGCAGGTTGGAAAAGAGTAAGTGGTGGCCAAACAAAAACATGGCATCAGTCCATGAAATCCTTGACAGTTAAACTGAGTCAGGTAGGGAGATGCAGACTTCCGGGTTGGGCTCTCGGGACTGTAAGAATCAATGGCTGGAGACAATAGGTGATATGACTCAAAATCGTTGTCAATGGCGCAGATGTATTCAGTCTCTGTAATCTTTCATATTCCTTCCTACCATTACTCATTCTGTTTCACTCTTATACTTGTCAAAACTCTATTGATTCTCTTCACTCATCTTCTTGTCTACCTTTGTGTGCTATTTGGAACGTGGCAACTCGAACTGCTGCACTTCGGTGCCAAGTTCTATGTTGAATCCAGCAGCAGCAGCATTCTTATTGTTTATCCGGGAAGCCGTTATATGCAAAACCATACATTTTTCCTTTCAACCAATAAACGACTTCCCAATTAACATAAAGTCAAAGAGTAGGAAAGGTTAGACCTCAAGAAATAGCTTTACCTTCAAAAAGAGCATACAATGAACAAAGGGCAGACACTTGCTCACTATGGAACACAGAAAAGAGAACACGAAGTCCAGGAATTAAGAAGTGTATTGTGTCAGAGAGGAAATACAAATTGAAGGAGCATAACATAAAGTACAGGTTGATGACTCATTTATTTATGCTGAATCAGTGCACTGAATAAGGTAATTGATTTATTACATTTAAAAGTCCAGTATCCACAACATAAAGGAAAGAAATACAGTAGAATCAACTGTTATTTAAATGGTTCTGAATTGTGGTTATGACGAATATATCGGAAGACTGCATATAAATTTGTATGATGCCCCTCCAAAGACTGTTTAAATAGTGATATCATCAAGATAAGTGAAGCAGTCAGAGCACCAACACTAAAAGAATCTTCCAGATCAGTCTCTTGGAAATGGTGGGAGCATTTATGAAACAAACGGGTAGGTTATGGAACTGCTGGAGGACGAACGGCGTTCTGGGTCTATTCCCATCTGCTAGCACTCGGATGCCAGAACAAGACTGGTGAACCACCGATCTACCTAATGCACCCAAGGTTACGACTATTATGGGTAAGAGGAAGGTGTCAACCATAGTCTACAGAAGCGCATTGACCAATTTCTCCTCTTCATCAAGAGAATAGGGAGTGTCCAGAGTTTCGTCGGTAATCGTAGCTAACGGCGGTTGTTAATGGATGGGTGCTCTGCAAGGAAACAGCGTTATAGGCACACGAACATCCGACAAACTCAGTCCAGCCCAAGGTCTCACCATCCTACATTATCCCACTAGGTTTATACATTAGGGTGAAACTGTTGGTTTGTCATTATCCACCTTGATTTGGGTCTATATGTGTCTTGGAGTTTATCTGTACCGGCAGCATGCAGTTCAGAGCGCGCTGACTCTGACGAACGGCTCGCTTGAGTGAAAATCTATAAGCACCCAGTCTGATAAAAAGGTTGTCTAAATAGCCGACAGCTCTCTGACCGGTCAAAACTCAACGTCCGATATGACATCTTGAGTTATTATATCACAGGAAACAGGTGAATGGACACAAAGAAGTTTGGAAACGAGTGGTAAACTAAACATTTCCGACACGTTTATAATCATCCCATTTGCTACTGGTAGCCCTGGCCTTCTGGACATTGATTCAGGGTGTGTTCAGACAGTTGCTGATAACAGGATTATACCCACGCAACGAACAACAATGCATATACTATTAACTAATCCATCAAGAGTAAGAGAAGCTTACGAGGAGTGTGTAAAAAAGGATTACGAAAAAGCTTTCTGAACACCATTTCGTGACTATAGTGCCAGATATTATGACAGAGGGACAGTTCTTGAAATGATGTTATGAGTGGACTAGTACTAATGGGAGTGTGTTTCCTTCCATTTGTGGCTTAAATTATAGCTCTTCCGTACCGGTGTCTGACGAATTCTTGTTCGTCAGCTCTGAAGGGGAAACCATTATGCTCTTACTCTTTGACAATGCGACCAACACCCTCCGGTGATTATCCTAGTTACAGCGACAGACTGCACACGAAAAAAGTTTGTATATTCCACTTTTGAAGACCTTTTGCGAAGCAGAAACAAACCATCTCGACCTTTGCCGATGTAGGCGAGGAGATGGATAGATTGCCAGGTTTCTTGTATGATGATACTAATAACCCTTTCCCTGCTCACCTGTTTGCGGATTCTGGCTCAGAGACATGCTAATGTACATGCAGGGGCGTTTTGCTGGCCAAAGACACTTGCCCTAGTTACTCCAACGTCATCTCCAAGTTTCTGTCCCCTACGTAGAGGACACAGGTTAGAGACGATTTGCGTGTGAAAAATTTGAATGCCATAGCCAACACTGTTTCCAATAAATCGGACCGCAGGAGGAAGCATGTTTCAATCTACCGATCAAGTGGAGACAAATCTCCGGTTTTATCTGTTGGTAACCCAGGCAATATACATAACAGGTATCAAGCATCATAGGGCGAAGTTGAAGTATAGTGATCCGGGAGTGCAAACAGACTAATGACCCTAAACGCAACCACTGGTTGGATAACGGTACCTACCATTACTAAAGCGCCACTAAGAACACCGTGCACGAATTGAGGTGCGAATTTCGTTTCTAGGTAGAGTTAGCTTTGGGGTTGGGATTAGGATGTTTTATTACCATCATCTGCATTTTTTTTGGAAAATGGCTGTCCACGTCCTTACTGGGGCCCATACTTATTCAGTCGAGGGCTTTGGGAGAAGACTGAAAAATAGGATAATATGGATAAATAGGTCATAAAGAGAAGTCATTTTAGTCACCTCGATATATACATGTAAGAAATAGGTTTATCCTAAAAACTAACACTCCCCGTTATACTTGGGAGATAATTTGAACCTACGTCAAGAGAAACACCCTGTTTAATGTGTTTTATCGTTACTCTCTATATTTGTCTTGTAAATAACCGTCATTTTTATGTGTAAATCACTGCTTTTTATTATTGGTCGCCTCTAAGTCAGGCTTGCGTTCGCATTTCGTAAATCGCTATAGTTTAGCTTTGCCCGTCATACATTCACACGGAGTTCCGTGACCGAAACAAAGGAATTAGAGTACAAATAACAACTACAGTCCATAAACATAAGTCAGATTTAGATGATAAGGATAGAAGGCTCTTGTGGCCTGTGTTAATCCTTGCAAAATATATCTCTGCAGAGATCTAACTTCTCTTTGAAAGCGTTCACCGATGGAGCTGATACTACTGAATCAGGTAAGGAGTTCCAGTCGTTGACCACTCTGTGACAGAATCTAAATTCTGCACGTATTTTAATCGTCCTCGGTTTGAGCACCTTTTTGCGGTGACCCCGTAAATGTATCCTAGAAGGGGAGAAAAGTTTAGAAAGGTCAGTTCCTAAATCCGAAGGCATTACGTAAGATCCTAACTGTAATCCTAATCGTCAAGCAAATGGTCTGAAACAGAAAGCAAAGCGCACGTTAGCAGGGTGATTGCACAAGTGCCGCGTGCATGTAAGAACGAAGATTCAGGTCGAACCTGTGGAGTTTGGAAATGAATTCTAGGAAAAGCGCGGTAATGCACTTAGGTCAGAAGTCTTATACGTCGTACTCCCTAGGGGACACAGAACTACCTGATGTTAACGAACAGAAGGACCTAGGAATCATTGTCAGCAATGATTTGAAAACAACTGCAAATTGCAATGCAGCCGCAGCTAAGGCTTTTCGAATGCTATGGGCACTTCGAAGGGCTTTCAAACGATTAGACGAGAGCATGTTCCAAATACTCTACGCAACATATGTCAGGCCTCATCTAGAATACTGCATACAAGCGGCGGGTCCATGCTTCAAAAAGGAGGCACATATCCTGGAAAGACTACAGAGAGTAGGAACGAAATTAGTTAGTGGTATCTCACACCTTCCTTATGATAAGAGGATGGAGCATTTAAATCTCTTCCCGTTATCATACCGAAGGAAGAGAGGCGACTTAATTTTAGCATACCGGACCATTTTACCAAATGTTAGTTTTTTCGCGTTATGGTATAATAAGGTAAGTAATTGACGTTAGGCGTATCCTCAGATCTGGTATACTTAAGGGTGATTTAGGAACTGACCTTTATAAATTTTTCTCCCCTTCTAGGATACATTTACGGGGTCACCGCAAAAAGGTGCTCAAACCGAGGACGATTAAAATACGTGCAGAATTTAGATTCTGTCACAGAGTGGTCAACGACTGGAACTCCTTACCTGATTCAGTAGTATCAGCTCCATCGGTGAACGCTTTCAAAGAGAAGTTAGATCTCTGCAGAGATATATTTTGCAAGGATTAACACAGGCCACAAGAGCCTTCTATCCTTATCATCTGAATCTGGTTCAAGGGTTATATTGACAACTAGTCACTATATATTTAGGTGGAAAGGGAAGGCCTTCCCTACTTGTCATCCGTTGCATCGTTTTGGGCGACCAATCTCTGCACGCTACGTAGCCAATCTGAAATTAGACAAGCATAGCTTAAACATAACAAATCCGCCGAACATAACATCTGCTTACATAACCTTGAGTTCAAAACACCACTTCGACGTCCGAGAGAGTTTCAAAACTCAATGTATCTTATTCAGATTTTTCATGGTGATCCCTAATTAATCTGTTTTATGTTTCATTGTTTGACACAGGAGATTACCATTCTTGTTTTAGATGTTGCGAAGTACATATATAGAAAGTTTATGTCTCTCCATGGAATTGACCTAACTGATAGAATTCACTCTGCACCAAAGACAGGAATAGACGCATCACATTAGTTACTAGTGTCCAATGAAAGTGAATTATTGTACACCTGACAATATGAATTTTCAGATTTTAAAATAGAAGGCTTTTGATTCTGAATTAGCTCCCCAATTTCCGGTGCAACTTATATCAAGCTTTTGATTCCAGTAGGACTCACTGAATATGTGCAACTGTTGTGGATTTCACTGGTTCGGAATTTGACACGAGAAGATTAATTTAGAGTTGAATAAAAGTATCCACTACAGTCCCATAAGAGGACAGCTGCAAGTCTGAATGGCCCAGTTGCAACATCTCTGACTGCAGCACTGGATGACGCAGGGCACATGATTTCCTTCAGGTCTCAGGTTAGCCTTTCTGACAAGTACCAACAAGCCCGAAACCTAAGTCCAAGGCTTCCTGCCGATCGCCCAGAATAATCTTGCATCATCTGAATGTGAACGGCGATGGAAAGTCACCCAGGGCGATGACCACATTACGGGCGTTGATAAGGCATATCCCCTGTTTGAAGTGGCGCCTCCAGCTTTACCTTGAGGACATTTGCGCGGTCTAGTTGATTTCAGTTTGGCTGATTTGTTCCGTTAGATATAGGTAGCTGCATTTGACGTGATTCTGGTTTCTGTTTGGCTTGAACTGTATTGATTTTGTTAAGAATAGTCGTCAAAAGCTGCCTCTAGGCCTGAAGGCACTTATGGTGCAGGAGGATGCTTGAGAATGTGTTTCATGTGAAAATTATAGGGTGCACCTAAAATCCTCCTGTTTGTGGCGTCTCAATGATTTCTGTAGAGCTTCGTTTCATCACTTGTGTCCATATTTGTCGCTCACGAGTGTTTCAGTAAATGTTTATGGCTACAATCAGGAACTTTCCCAAACGGTAACTGTGGTAAGGAATTTATATTTTTTCCGCTATAGTTGCCAAGTCAATATCACTTTCAAGTTGCTTACTGTACTCTGTTGGCTATTCATGAATTTTTTATTGACAAGCTTCTGTTTTCATTTACAGTGGTACCTAATGGACGCATTGGCACTTGGAGACAATGGCGACCAACCTGCCCTTCTTATATCAGTGGATATCAAAAACCTTTTTGACGGAATTATGTTTAGTCACCGGTATACCAGTTGGGTTCAAGTAGAAGATGCTCTAAGTCAGCTGGAATCAGTAATATATGTATATATGTATGACAGAGTATTCCTAGGCAACTCATACACATTATGTAATCAAAAAGTGCATACGGGACCATGAATCTCAGGAGTTGAAGTACAAATTAGTAGTCTTTCGTTGTACATATAGCATGAAGCGAAAAACTAGAGGTTCAGGTTTACGCGTCAAACCGTAAGAATTCTATTATTTATTTCTGCAGTGCAAAATACACCGGTTGCCAATCTGGCTTTCGTATACGCTACAAGGAGGACGAGTTTATCATTTCTTCCGCGAAAACAGTTCACAATCACAGATGTGAACAAAGTCTTATGATAGGTGATCCATATTTTAGACGCCTGTCCGGGGATGAAAAGGAGAATATTGCACCAGTTGTGAAGACTACATCTGAGGTTGCTGATGTTTTGGAATATGCTGAAGAGAATTTTAGTAAAGTTTTGACGAGCACAGATGTGTATAATTTACGTAAGGATGTGAGACCAGGTAATTGAAGTAGTTTAAAGTTATTTTCGAAGCCATGCCTTTGAGATCAGATTTTATGCGCATAATAAGGCAAAGTGGTCAGGTGGTTGAATACGTGGATTCGAATACAGGGATAACCAGCAGAATTTGCTTCGCCCTGGAATCACAGGTTCAGTTATATCGGAAATATGGAGAGGTGGTGACGGCATATACCTGCACCAAGTGGATTATACCAATTCTACTTGTACCTGCAGAATATTTAGGGCACAAAGAATACCTTGCCCGCATATGCTGCTATGTCACACTCAAATTCCTCAGTTTACAGGTAAATCAAACTCTTACAAATATTTAAATTAATATTTTTAGTTGACAAAGTAATTCGCCTGTGTCGCAGATGGTTTTGGCAGGATCCGTTGCTACCAAGTCGTGTGCCGTGTGAAGGTTCAGTGAAGAAACCCTGCATGGAGATACTGCAACTTCGCAGGTAATTGAACAGAAGCTTCGCAGTTATGCAGAATAATTATAGTAATGAATATACTATTAGTGCACTGCGAGCAACTCTGAATTACTTTGAGAACTTTCTTGTATAATAATGGAAGATGTACATAAATTTTGTGTCAATAAATGCAAATATACCCTAACTTCTAAACTGCATACGCCTTATGTTTTACCGTTTCATGTGACAGAAGTCTAATAGTCATTTGCGAATATAGTAGGAAGCATTTTCTAGAGAGCAAGTAAAATTGAATACTAGGCGGAATCTCCAGTACTTAGTATGAGAAGTAAGGTGAACGTTTTTTCTTGTAAGTACGCAATGAAAAGATAATGACGAGTTTTTGTAACTAGCATTGTATTTACTATGTAGGTAATGTTATTACAGGCATACGTTGCTATAACGTGTCTAGTCTGGCGTATCGCCGCATGAGTAACACCAATTATAGCGTTTTCCAGTCAGTAAAATTTCGACTTTTCGTACGTCAAACTTCGCGGAAGGTAGATGAAATTAAAGACTGCTTCCAGAAGATCCGTACAACGGCATCTTAGGCAATGTCTACAAAGACAAAAATAAGATAATTAGAAGACACGTTAAAATGCATAGGTAAATAAGTCAAGTATTGTTTTGGAATAAAGGAGATTACTAGTATTATTACAAGGTCTTCAACTCATTTCATTTCTTTCGACTGCTACCATTTCTTTAGTCAGCGTTACCTACTTATAGTTCACTGTAACTTCTTCGTTGCACCCTATTTACACAGTGCAAGAAAATGAGAAAATGAGTGCAATACTTAGGATACAGCAATAATAAGGGTATAAGCAGATTAACACTGCAGCGAGGTGCAACAGTAGTAATTTGCTTCGTTCGAAAACAGTATTAATGTTTCAGTGTTGAATTCGCAGCATCTCGTACATTATTGTATCTCATCTTATGAAGTAATAACATCTCCAAGGTATTTCATGTTAGACTTAGTTTATGTTTCAGTGCCCTCTGTGATACAAGCATCTTGTGAATGATACATGAGTATTTCAGTTATGCGTACTAAAGGTTTAAAAAAATCACTCATCTAATTCACTTCTATTAGCACTAATTCTTATGTCCATGTTACTGACTTTTGGTTTATGTTTTCTTCAGTGCACTTTATCTGGACAATTTAAGGAATTGGGAAATGCATTGAGTACTTAAGAAACGGCATTCATAATTGTTTGTGCCAATTAACACTGTAGTGAGTTGTGACACTAGGCAGCTGCAGTGACAAAGCCGACTGACTGAGTTTTAACATGGAACTCGGTGGAGAAGTGCAACTTTTGAGATGTAACGGGACAGAGTGTAAAAGTTATCTCGAGTAGGAGGAGAAATTATTGTAAGACAACTCTTTTTCAGTTAGACGAGAACCGAATAAAAAAATGCGATTATCATTTGCTGACATTTTGCTTATTTTTATCCACGTTTTAGCATTTCATTATACCTGGACTATAGATCATTCTGACAGACTGACTTTCAACAGAGAAGCTTGCAAACAAGTGCACCTGTTTACGTTATCACATTCCATGTAGCACACAAAGGTAGAGAAAAAAGAAATCAAATGGAACTCTAATGAGCATAAATGTCACGGAAAACGAACAGTGATATGGAAAGAACACAATGGTTGCTCAGATATGTAAGATTACACAGAGTGAATGCATCTGTGTTATAAACAACGTTTGAAGTCACATTTCTACTTAACACTAAGCTTCACCCCAATATTACTCACCATTTTAGACTACTTAACGCAGAAGAAAGGGCACAGACACTGCGATCAAAAACCAGTAGTCTTTTCATATCTTCCAGTTTCAATGGTCACTTCTCACAACCTAGGTGGACAATGTCATTAGCATACACTAAGTTGACAAGACTTTTCCCTGGTAAGTCCCAGAAGTGAGTGACACACAATTTTGTTAGTACATGTATGATGAAAGTGAACTAAAATAAGGACGGCAGTTGTAGAAATGAGCCTTGTATTATATCATTCTTGGAAATATCAATTCCCTCATAGTTTAGTTTCAGTATTAAGTGAATGGAATGCAATCTACAGATTCATGAAATTCACATACTGACGTACTACTTTTCTGGAATCATGGTTAATGTCTCCTCATTAAAGTGAGCAATGGGTATTGTACTTGTGTAAAATCAATAGGCTATGAACCGCTGCCGATGAAAACAACAGAAATTCTTGGAATTATCAGTTATAATTTCAGCTGGATCACATGCAACACTCAGCAGTTGTTAAGTGGTGAATTCATGAACATGGAATCCATACAGAAAGCGCAGAAGATTTAGTACAACATGCACACTCCTGATTTCACTATTCAGCATGCACGCCGAATGCATTACTTTAGGGGCCTACACAGTTCACAAATTAACTCACAACACTGAAGTGGAGAAATTCATATTTTTCCTTACTGAGTTAAATATAGCGGTTCTTGTGAAGTAACTTTCTTATGCAGAAGAGAAGAGCAAGGTATTCATAATCTTCTGCTACATGTGGAATCGCAGTGCAGCTCGATGCGCAATAGTATATGTACGAATAAACTCAAAAATAAAGTCCTCCTGGTGACACATTGTGACATGATAGGAAGTGAGACGGTCAGATCACCAGCGTATTTGACGAAGTTGCTCTCATTAGAAAGAGAAAAGTCATGTAAGACAAGAGA